CCTCACCCCATAACAAAGAAACAGAATTTCCGGAGGATGAGGCCCAGAAATCAGGATTTTAAAAAGATTCCCAGGTGATTCTAATGTGCAGCCAAGGTTGAGAACCACTGTGATAGAGGATGCTAACTGTTCTAGAAGAGGTCATTAGAGGTGTGCTTCTCAATCTGCCTGAGCATTAGAGTCACTTGGGGAGCTTGTTAAATTATAGCTCCTTGGAGCCCACCCCTAGAGCATCTGATTCAGTTTATCCATGAATTTGCATTTCTGATGATTTCCCAGGTGATGCTGATGCTCTGGTCCAGAGACCACGGTATGTGTGGCTCATCGAGAAAAGCTAAGCAACCATTTAGTGATTGACAATTTACTCAAAATGATATGAAGAGGCTACAAAGAAGACAGATGCTTGCACTCAAAGTCAGTTACTATAATAGCGTGTGTATTATGGGTAACCCAAAAAGTTAGGTGGTAACAAATATTTTAGTTCTCTAGACCCAGGAGAGGACCCATTAAAATCATCATGAAAAATTACACAGTCACCTTAAACACTGGAAGGCAGATTGTATTCCCACATTTTCTTAGATATTTTAGGAATTCCTTTCCATTTTCCCTCTTCACATCAGCTTGGTTTTCAAAGAATTCGGCAAACAGAGATTGCACTGAGTCTTCAAGGGAATTATAGGCCTGGGACAGGGGTGAGAATAGGGAGAAACTGGAGGTGAGACAAGCTGATTTTGAAGGCTGGAAATCTGACACATACTCACTTAGCTGTCTCTGTAGTTGTCCCAAAGAGACCTTCTTCGTTCAGGCTGAGTTCCTTGGTTTGCCCTTTGACTTCCAAAAGGCCCCAGCTGTTGTTCAAACCCAGGCTGCCTCAAAGAAAACCACCCAGATTTTAACTTGCTGGGACCTAATCTTTGGCTATAATGGCCTCTTTAATGATCAGATTTGTGAACCCCATATGCTAGTTACTTATATTCAGTAACACTGTAAACACAGGAAATTTCCAGTAAAAATTAAATGACATTATAATGTCAATCTTTTTCACCTATCCTAACACATCAACATTAACTCTAAAATAGAATATGAGTGAAAATATTCAGTCTACCACTGGTGATACCCATAGTTTTGGCAACCCACTGGAACGAACTGTGATTCTCCCTATCATAGCTCATAGTTTGCAATCACAGCTCTAAATTATTAGGACATAAAGCAGCAAAATCCAAGCCACTATATTGCTGTTTCATCTATCATCACACCATAACCACCATTATTAGGAAGACACAGGATACATTAGGTCTGAAACCTCCCTCCCACTGACTCAAACATGGATACTAACCATAAATAAATAAGCATCACTGATGTGCAGCTTAAAAGACGCTAATTTATTAACAGCAACACTGCACTCTTCACGGAGCGGTTTTTTTTCTTCCATCTCAGCTTTAGAGAAAACCAGGCATAAAAAGTACTGAGCTACACAGCAACCTAATGGACTTCTTAAATACTAGTAGGCAGATAGCCACTTTCATGCAGCTGAAAACTAGATCAAATTTGACCCAGCTGTGATTAACAGCTACTCATTTGCGAATGAGGACACTGTTTCTGCACCAGAGAACCAATCTCATCAGAGAAAAGGGTGTATATGGGGGAAGGTGGAAATTAATTTTCCTTAATATACAGGCCATTGTAGAGCACTCTCTCTCATGTTTTTTTTTCTATGATTTGAGAGGGCAGATCTACTTCCTGAATAGAAAAGTGATAACAGAGTAGATATATTAGCTTTAACGAAGTCTTTTCTTTAAAAACAATTTATGACACATCATGCTAGGTCCTTTGGGGAATCTAAAAAGACTCACTAAAATGCATTATTTGTCTATAAGGGACATAGCCCCCACCCATAAGGCTACAATGCACATAATTGATCTGAAGACAGGTCATGATGGTGGTTCTGAGGGGATTCCGGCAGATTTCACTGATAAATCGGCAGTTGAAACTGGCCTTGCAAGGTGGGTAAGAATGTAGGGAAAGAGAAATGGAAGAAGGGGGTTCCACCTGGAGAACTGGCACACACAGGCTGTAGGGATTAGACACAGTAATGGTTTCTCATCGCTGCAGTAAGACTGCTGCATTTGGGAAGCTTTTGGCTCCTTCCTCAAATGGCCTCCCAGAAGTTCTGACCTGCCTCAACATTTACCACTTCATTAGCCTCCTTTTAGAGTAGAGATTGTTTTACTTATCTTGGTAGTCCTATTGCTCATAATAAAATAATTTGTAAATAATAGGTGTGAACTCAAAACTTATTACATAAAAGTATAGCTTTCATGTGCAGCAATGTGATTTCCCATGGTCTGGTGGATTCTTAGATCTAGCCTAAGCCATGTCTGGTGGAAGTGACATAAAAGTGGCAGGTCACCAAGTGGATCTCTAGGAGGCAGTGAGGAGCCTGGGAGTTTCCTGAGGGACAGCTATCCTGAGAGAAGGAGCCATGATTCTAACTTTGGCAAGTCGAAAGAATAAATAACATCATCAAAGGGAAGAGGTCATTACAAAAAGTCGCAGTATTTGTCACTTTTATTTCGTGACCCAACCCTGCCCTTGTCCCTAATTGAATTCATACCTTAGTCCCAGAAAGCACTTTAAGCAGATGCTTCTCAAACTGCAATTTGTATATAATTCACCTGGGCTTAAGCTGTATATGCTGATTCATGGAGTCTGATTCCGAGTTTCTAACAATTCTGCCAAATGTTGCTGGTCCAGGGACCAATGCACTGCTTGGCATGCCAGAGCTCCCAGGACCTCCATGGCAGTACCCTGGGGGAGGCAGCAGTACCAGGTCACTCGGCAATATCCAGTTGACTAGTTAACTGGTTTTGATTATATGTGTAGAACATCACCTGAACTCCCAAACAAATTTGAGGAAACTTTTCAGGAGATTGGGGTCCTATGTGAGCAGGTAGAGACAAATACCAATAAAATCTGGATTTTTGCTTACTGTTAATGTGCCTCCATCTAAAGGATGGTAAATCTAAAATATAAAAATTTTATTTACTGGAAGATACGTGAGTTTGGATATTTCTGGATAGATCGTCCTAAGATCTTAAGATAAAACCTTTTCATGTAAACATTCCATGATTCTACCATTCCAACTGGGCCAAAACACAGAACTAGATACATATGAAGAAAATGTTCTTCTTCTTTTTTTAAAATATAGTTTTATTGGTTTCAGAGAGGAAGGAAGAGGGAGAGACATCAATGATGAGAGAGAATCATTGATCGGCTGCCTCCTGCACACCCCCTACTGGGGGTCGAGCCTGCAACCCGGGCATGTACCCTTGACTGGAATAGAACCAGGGACCCTTTAGGCCACGCTCTATCCACTGAGCCAAACCAGCTAGGGAGAAAAATGTTATTGAGGGTTAAGTATTATTGAGGAATATTTTTATCTAGTAATTTAAAAACAACCTCACAATATACAGAATAATGGAGAGGAAAGAAACACATCAGCAACGTCAATAACATTTGTGTTAGTATGGTAGCTTTACAGGTGATTTTCTCTATTTTTCATATATTTTGAACTTTTATAATTACATTATATTTTCATTTTGATAAAGCAGCCTAACAGCTACCTGTCTAGAGAATTAGCACAATGGAAGCTCCACATACATTCATATTTATAAACATATAGTTTTTTCTTATTACAATGTAATGCTAGATCATTGTAAACTATTCCAAAATTACAGAAATATGTAACGTAGAAAGTGAGAGCCCATGGGTAGCACTGTAGTTCCAATATATATTTCAAATTTAATTTGATTCATGATACCACTATTAAATTTTGGTAACCTGATGAATTGACTTTTAAATTATGGGACATGCTCAGGCTGATTTATAGATCTCCTCACCTGGGATGTACTGGAAAAACAAACACATCTTTTTAAAGAATTATATAATTCTGAACTTTCTGTCCTTACAGTGTTACTTGATCTTGTCATTTCTCTAATGATTAAGGAAGAGAGAAGGGGCTCTCTTCTGGACTTAATTCTAAACAAGAAATTATTATCTTTAAAATAAAATATCTTTAGGTGAGTACTTTTATTCTCTTTATTGTGTTCTCTGTGCACCTATATTCCTCATTAGTTTGTAAATTTTGTGAGGAATGGGCCTAAGTCTTAGTCATCTTTGTATGTCCCTGAGCATTTATTAGAAATGCTCAAAGAAAGCACCCAGTAAATTATATTGACTGAACAATTTGAAAGAAAAAGAAACCTAAATGTTGAAAGTTGTTGATTGTCAAGGAAGAAAAAATGTGCAGAGCCAGATGAATACTTTGCATGTTAGAAAAGCAGATTTTTCATTTCCAAAAATCATGGAGATGGAGAAAGCCGGGAATTCCATGTCATGAGTCTTTAAAAGAAAAAATAACATTTAACACAACCCAGGGCAGTGAGTAGGTTCTTAAATGTTACAGAATAAAGTGTGAAGGAAGTAATTGGTCAAAATAGCAAACTGGTAAGTTTTAAAAACTAAGTTCACAGTATGGTAATTCTGGTGACAAAAAGAGAGATGGCAGCTACAGAAACCCCAGTGTCTACACACATATCCTGCAGCGCCTACTTCCAGGCTCAGTGCAGCTTTCCTTTCCTCTGAAGCATGTTTTCAAACTTCTTTTTTGTTTGTTTGTTTCTTTTGTTTGTTTGTTTGTTTTCTGACTTTTAAGTCTGGGTTTGGTATCCCCTCCTTTGTGCTCCATGGTTATAGAAATTCTTCCCACACCTTTGTAATTGCTTGCTTATCTGTGCCTTCTCTCCTAGTTCATGAGCTCCTTGAAGGCACTTGTGTTGTGCTGTGGAGTTGCCATCATCTAGTATAGAAGAGGAAGTAGCAGGTCATCAATAGATATCCATTCATTATAAAGGAATAAGTAAATGGTCAAATATTTAAAGGACAAACAAAAAATACAGAAGGCAAATACATGATGAGACTAGAAATGTAAAATGAATTATCAGGAAACATGAAATTTCATGTGTGTTGGGGTTATTTATAATAGCCAATACATGGAAAATAACCTAAGTGTCTGTCAGCAGATGAATGGATAAAGCAATTGTGTATATATACATACACACACAGTACAATATTATTCAGCCATAAAAACAAATAAAATGTTGCCATTTGGTACAACATGGATGGGCCTCAAGGGCGTTATGCTAAGTGAAATAAGGCCAACAAAGAAGGACAAATATTGTATGCTCATTCTTATATGTGGAATCTAAAAAACAAAACAACAACAAAAACAAGCTCATAAATAAAGAGAACAGATTGGAGGTTGCCAGAGGGCAGGAACTAGGGGAGGTATGGAGGGGACAAATGGGTAAATGGAGTCAAAAGATAAAAATAAATGAATAAAGAAATTTTTCTGGAAACACAAAGGATAATTTTAAAGTAAAAATAACCTGATTTCAAGACCCACTTTAAAATGGGAAGAAGAGTGAAAATACAAACCTGGAGTCTGGCCCTGGGGTTTCCTAGTGGTATATATTCTTGTCTTTTAGGTTTCTCTCTATCGTCTCACTCCTTATGGCACAAAATAAAATTAAAACATGCTGAAGTCTCCCAGCTGGAACAAAAAGATTAATCTTATAACTGCCCACCATGAGCTATTGTTGTTCTATATATTTTGTCAATTTCAATGTAGTTGCCACCTCATCCGGTTTTCTGAAGGTAGTCAGTGACTTGTTTCAAAGGTAGCCAGTGATTTCTCAATTTCCAGAGTCCAGTAGTCAGCACTCAGGTTTTCTGATCAGAGAGTGCAACTCTGTATCCACTGACCACACTGTCCTCCATGATACTCTCTTCCCACATGCTTCTGTGGCATTGCACCAAAAGTCCTAACACTTCTTGTTTCCCTTGTCCCTAAATATCTCAGGTGCCCTGTCTTCTGAGTTTGAGCCCATCCTTTTGTTCTAAATGTTCTTCTGGGAACTTTTCATCATTCCATCTGTGGGTACCTCACAAATCTACCCTTTCAGCCCTCATCCCTGTCTGGACGCACATTTTGATTTATACAGTGCACCAGTATCTTTAGTTCAAATGTGCTTTTTCCTCCTTCTGCATTCATTCAATCTTATCACTTCTAGAAGCAGGTCCTGGTCCTAGCTAAACAGTTAGACATGGGAGGAAACATACTCTAAATAGATATAGAAGACAAAGGGAACTGATTCTTGACTCCTGAGTTTGTAAAGATGTTGGTATGGGTTTAAGTTAAAAGGTTTTAAATATGTGTTTTCCAAAAAGAGTATATGAATTCTCTGTGACATGAGTGAAAACAGCGTTCACCTCTTCTGCTAATGCTACTGGTTGCCAACTACATGAAATCATCATGGATGCAGGTATGCAAGAGCAATGTTAAATGTCCTTTCTGTTGCTGCCAGGTGAGGA